ATAGTTGTGTTCAGTACAGCAATGATTTCTATTTTTAAATAAGAAAATCTATTAACAGGTACAAGAATTTACAATCAAATCCAGCCTCTTCCAGTTATCTTTGGCTTGAGAGGAAGTTGCTTACTTTGACCTTTGAGGCTCAAATGTTTTCACTGGAAAGAAATGCCGCCATAGCATCTGAGCCTGAAAGACGGTATAAACAACCATTTTCCTTTAAAAAATGGTTGGTTTTAAACCTTCAATGAACAGAGACTCAAAAAGCTTCTTTATCTCCTGAGCTCTCAATTCTTCATGCTACAAAACCTGCAGCTTTTGCCTTCCACAACTGTTTGGTGAAGTCCAGAAGGGCTTGAGAAAGTCTCTTTCTTGAGCATTTGCTTGTTTCCACCACAGGTAGGCAAAAGGCTTATTTTCTCCAATACTAAAAGAAAACAAAAACACATGGCACAGCATTTATTCAACCTGGTATACTCTCAAAGAACAAAAGTTACGTGTAAATTGAACTCTATGTTTAAAAACGTGGTGAAATGCCTAAAGGCAGGCGATTTCCACAACCCTTCAGAAGAATAAACAGCATGGAAACCAACTCTATCTGCCCCTTGACAAATGGCTTCATCCAATCTACACAATACTGCTGGCAGATTTTCTCTATTTTGCTGTCCAGTAAGAGGAAAACAGAAGCCCTGTCCTGAGGGAAAGAACTAGAGCTGCATTCTGGGATGCAGCAGCACTGGGACCACAGCTTGGAGATGTCCTAAAGCCACTTCACATTTACAGCTTAATTTGAGTTTGTTCCTAAACAGAGAACAACCAACCATTAGTACAACCCCAGACTGTACAGCTACATTTTAGGTGGGACACCTCTTGTCCCCCAAACTTTCACTTTCTAAATCTCTGCTTAACATCAGCCCAGAATGCAACTGGCTTGACATGTAAACTTACAAAGGAAATAAAAAGTGAACTCAGTCACTTCAGCTGGAGATTGTTTCCTTCCTCTGCAGAAATAAATAATGCTGCTAAAATGAAAATGACTCTCCAGGTAGAAATGGTCATCCGGTCTTCATTAGTATCAACTAAAATTAGTATGCACCTTTTCTCCTCTTGAGCACTATTGTACACCACCATTAACCTATTCTAAATGTTAAATTTATTTACTATTGAGACAACAGTTTTTTGATAACCATTAAGGAGACAAGTACTACATAAAAAGCTCTATAAAATATCTGATAAGATTAGAGATACCTTAGAAACTAAGCTAAAGGCTTCATAACACAGCTTCGAACCAAACTCATTTTACAATACTGGTACAAAAGAACAATACTAAGCTGATGCCAAAGTATCTACAGTGCTTTATCCAAGAGCTTTACTTACTACAGAGTGACATATAAAATGCTGATACACAACAGTTACTATAATAACCAACCTTATTAAAAAGCTCTTAACTGCTGCAGTAGACAGCAAAGATTCCTTGCAGGCAAGTAAAATAAATATCTATTGATAAACAAAAAAACACGTTCAAGGGCATTTCAAGTGAAAAATTGTGTGGTGTTAGGCCAAAATCTGCTATTTATGCAACTATCATAACATCTGTGTAGTGTTTTTCGGGGATTTGTTTTGGTTTTTAGACAATTTATACTACTATTAAGGGCAAGGCCACTGGCAAATCAATTCAATTCCATTGGCATTATACATGAACAAACTAAAAGCTTCAACTGCCCACTGTGTAAGATGACCCCTTTACAGCAAATTCAATGACACATTAATTGTTCATTTGTTCAACAATTTATAACCTCAGTGAAGATTCCAGCAGCAAATTCTTAAGAACTCAGACAAAAAGGAAAGATAACGATTTTGACTAATCAAGTACTAATATCACTAAAAGTGATATTGTAATATGAAGAGAATAGATATAATTAATGACTATTTAACATTTAATTTAAATTTAAACAATTGATTTTGATGGGATTTTTTCATAATAAAAAAATATATATAAATAGACCTCAGATTCTTAAGATTTGTCAACTACTGATTAATGTGTGACTATTGTTTTTGCGTTCTCACATTTACAAGCATCCACTATTCTTGCATGGGAAGCTTGCAAGTATAATTATTTATAGAATAAATGAATGAAGGCAATAATCGCAACTCCAAAACTAGCAGAAGAATCCTACATCACATGGAGCCAAGAGACACCTGAAGCACTTAGAGCAACCCATTCTTTTTTTAATTTTAGACACCTGATACCCGAAGTAGAAAGGAAGGCCAAAAGCATATAGGTAGCAAACTCTGCAGCAGCGCATGAGGAGAATTCAGGGCCTCACAGGAAAAACAACCCAAAAGTCTCCACGCTGGAACGCAGCGTCAGCCAGCTAGAGAGGTAAAAACCCTCCAAATGGGTTTGAGGGACAACTGGATCACGCCTGCATTAGTAGCTGTCACATCTGCTTATTTGGTATCCAACGTGCAATACATACACACTTTGGGCTTGTTTTTTAACTCCCAAAATATAAACGGAAGATGCAATCTTTGCCTGCTGCTGTATATATCAGCCTTTGCTTACAATGCAATTCCTGGGAGCTAGAAGCCTGGGGTTCAAATTCTTGGGTACTTCTAAATATTCCGAACAAATCTGTCCTGTGATATTAAAAGCAGTTTTAAGTGCTGAAGAAAGGTCAAACAAGACCAAGTTTGAATGGAAAAAGAAAAGGTCACCTAAATCAAACCTGTAAACTCTGACTTACTAATACAGCTTCACAAATGCAGTAACAATTATCTGGGAGAGTCTGGCAGTCACCTAAACGCAAGGAAGTAAAAGATGTATCTTTAAAAAAGCGACTGTCAATATGTGATTAAAAGAAAGGTCTACACATATATTGCAGGCACTTAAAATTTTAATCTTGAATCTTTGTAATAGGTTTTTTGTTTGGGTTTTTTTTTTGAACCCCAAGGTAGATGCTAGGCATTTTTCACTTTGTGTCATGAAATTACTGTCCTCCATCCTATGATCAAAGTAATCCATAATGAATGACAACAAATTTTGCAACATTTTCATATAATTACATTCCTTTTTTTCACATCATGTAAGAGATCACCTTTATTCAATATATATGCAGATGGAAATGACATTTTTGCTCCTTACCCTGCACTACAGTGCAATTCTTCAAAATAAAAATTAAGTTTACAGGAAACAACAGATTCGTTGGAAGACCTTTAGCAAAATGGATAGCCATAAAAATAGTTCCGTTTCCAGCAGAATTTGATGAGCCTTTTGAAGAAAGAATCAATAAAAAAAACCTGGGATAATGACTGACTTTTCAGATCGGTTTCATTTTTCCTCTCAAATCCATTTCTCGTCATGAGTCTAATAGTTAAAGCAAACAGCATAATATCTTAAAAACCTGATAAACACAAACTAAATACATCAAATGGTTTTAAGGAAAAAACATTGTGAAATATGCTTTTGTGAATACAGTTTTATTCAACATGAGAAGTAAACATTGTATTGTCTTCTTGTGGCTTGTAGTAACACAGCACACATGCGTGTGGTTAAACTTTTCATTCTCCATACTAGAGCAAGGGTGAATTTTAATCATAAAAATAGCCAAGACAATAACCTATTGCCACCCCACACCATTAGCAAAAATCAGGTAATGTGTGAGGATGGATGGGACCTCCGAAGATCATTTTAGTCCAACCCTCCCCCCCCAGCTTAAGCAGGATCAAACACAACAGGTTGCTCAGAAGATTGTGCTGTTGGATTTTAAGTATCTCCACAGATAAAGACTCCGACACCCCTCTGGGAAACCTGTCCCAGTGTTTGATCTCCCTCACAGTAGTTCTTTATGTTTAGATGAAGTTTTCTGTCTTTCAGTTTGTGCCCACTGTCTCTTGTCCTGTCACTGGGCACAACTGAAAAGACTCTGACTCCACTTTCTTTACTCCCTTCCATCAGGTATTTATATGCATTGATAAGATCCCCTTCAAGCCTTCTCTCCTCCAGACTGAATAGTCCCAGCCCTCTCACCCTCTTCTCATGTGACAGATGCCCCAAGCACTTGATCATCTCCACCGGCCTTTGCTGGACTCGCTCCAGCACATCCACGCACTGGGGAGCCCAAAAGGGACACGGCACTCCAGATGCATCTCACATAGCACTGAGTGGAGGGGAAGGATCAACTCCCTCCACCCGCCAGCAATACTCTGCCTAACATGGTGAATGAAGCTGGTGGCCCTCCTTCACCACAAGATCACATTGCTGCATCATGTGCAACTTGTCCACCAGAACCTTCAATGCTTTTTCTGAAAAGCTGATTCCCACCTCATCACCCGTGCCCCTTCCCCGTGCTTGTGCATGGGGTTAATCTGCATCAGGTGCAGTGCTTGGCACTTCCCTTTGGTGAACTTCATGAGGTTCCTGTGCAGTCATTTCTCCAGCCTGTTGATGTCCCTGTGACTGGCAGCACACGCTTCCAGCGTACAGCTGCTCTATCCAGTTTTGCACTGTCTGCAAACTTGCTGAGGGTGCACTTCATCCCATCATACAGGTCATTAATGAAGATGTTAAACAATTTTGGCTTCATTATCAACCCTTTGAATACACCACTAGTGACTGGCCTCCAGATGGAGTTCTAATCTCAGCACACCAGCGAGTTTCCAATCCACATCAGTGTCTATTTCTCTAGTCTATATTGCTCCGGTTTGTTTAGGAGGATATTATGACAAACGATGTCAAAGCCTTGTGCCAGTCAAGACAAAATACCTACAGCTCTCACCCAGTCCACTGAGCTAGGCATTTTATCGTAGGTGGCTACCAGGCCAGTCAGGCATGATTTCCCTTTTGTAAATCCACGTTGACTACTCCCAATCACCTTGAATCTATTCTGCAGGTGCAGATCTGCAGGTAGAGCAGAAGTCATCCCTCCAATACCATAAGTCTCAAGGTTCCAGCTGTCACCATCCTATGAGTCTCTATTTCCTAACTCGATGAGCACAACATACTCTTACTCCTCCTTCAATGCAGCTGGAGATGCAGGCTCCTCTATCTCCAAGGTCTTGGGGAAGATCTGGTCAATCTCTTCCTTGCAGCTCTGATACTGTGCACTTTGCTGACCTCCTCCCACAGTTCCTTTACTTGGTGATCTGGACACACCACTGCTGCACACCTCCTGCAAGCAAGGAGCCCAACTCCCACTGCCCCAGCAAGAGGTCTCAGCCACTCACTACAGCCCCAAATCAGAAAAAGTGCATTCTCCCTCAGGAACTCCCCTGTGTTGAGGCCTCTGACACAGGGGACAGCCGCTCACATAGCCGCTGGGCACCACATTCTGTGGTACACTGTCAACATGGCAGAGGACGTGGATGCCACTGTGAGCAGAGCTTCCGGCCCTTTCTGTGCACCCTGCTATGCAAGCCGCTGTGTCTGTTGATCAAACTAACCAGCTGGAATGCACAGTTCAGGAAGTCTAGCAAAGGTAGTAAAGAAAGGAAGTTTATCCTCACTCATTTACTTTGGGAATGAAAGCTAAGGAAGTTCTGGATCCTTCTCTCACAACTCCAGCTTTCCAATTTGCAGCAATACAACCAGCTACAAGCCACTTCACATGTTTGCTAAGTTGCTTTAGAGAATTCTCTAGGACCGCTAAGAGCTTGCTCTCCAGTCCTGGCAGCAAGAACACGCTTATAACTTACTGCAAAATGAACTAAAACATCACGAACAATGAAGTTAGGTCTTGAACTTACCACTTGCAACCTCGCACCTTACTTAGCTTTCACAGAGACCACCAACCGAGAAGACATCTCACCTGTGCAAACTTGTGTATCTGCTCCACCACAGCTGCGAAGAGGGCATGGACACTTTCATCAATTAGACTCTGCATATAATGGACAGCTTCTTCATCGGACAGGTCCAAACGAAACTTGTCCTGCACCTGGAATGGGGGCAGAGATGACAAAAATTAATTCAATTCAACAGTCAAAATGTACACTGTTTCATCTGAACTATACAGGAGCAGACATAATTATTTCAGTTGTGGAAGTTTAGTAGAGAATCTCTCTTTTACTTCTAAATTACAGCAGATAATTGGGAATTTACAACGTTATATAAAATGAGTATTTTTAACCGTTTCATAAAAATGAAAATGAAATTTCATGCTAGAATGAGCACCCTACACCTCATCCCTCACCCCCCCAACCAGCAACTTTAAAGCTTGAAAGTCAAGAGAAGTACCTGGACATAAGAGTTTAAACAGAATTAAAATGCTATGAGAAAAAGAGAAAACACTCAACAGTCATAAAAAAGAATGAAATGCCACTTGAGAAAAAACACATAACTTTGCATAAACACAAAGTTGGAAGAATCTGGATGATCCTAACCATTTTTGAAAGTATCTAAACACTTCCTTATTTTAAGCTTAATTTCAGATAAAATTGCCTTTCAGAAAGTGTAAGAAAATTAAGTAAAGAATACAGATCGGAGGAAGGGCAAGCAAATGAACCCTATCAAAACTGACCTTGGTACGGCTGGTGAGACTTTCATTAACTTTGAGTATGTCCACCATCCACGTACAGGTGGTTGGAGACACTGCTACGCTCTCCATTGTTTCTTCTTTTGACAGCAACGTATTTTAACTATTGTACCAGTAGCACATTTTGCGTAGTCCTTGCAATTTGTATATGAATTAAAAGCTTAACGCACTATGCTTAAGAATACAGCAACAACATCTATATTTTCCTATTTCAGCCTTGGCAAAGCCTTGACCCATGGATAATTACAAACATGCAGCCAATGCCTTTCTGTGAATTCCAACTAATTCCATGGCAATTGTTCAGGACTGCTCCAGACGGCAACATCTCAAGTACCGTTACCACAGACATTACTTTGGTAATACTCAAAAACCTCTATACATAGAACTGGTAAGAGCTTAAACAGATATTTGGGGGTGGGGGGGAAGATTTTGCTTTGCAGGAGCCAAGTAAGTTTTACAGACATGCCTTGTGCCTCACAACATTTATGACAGACAGATGCATAAATAAGCATTTTGGATGAGTTCAAGTAATCTGATGCATGGATCTGAGGAAGTGCTACAGATATCAAAACATCATTTTCTAAGTTTTCTGAAGCGCTGGCTGTGCAGCAAGGTCTGCACACAGGAATGGCAAGTGTTCATTCTTTCTGGAAAAAAAATCAAATTTTTTTGATAACAATGCTAACTTTGGTGCTCAGTTTGAAAAACCAGTTGTGCTGTTCAAGACCTCCTAGCGAGTCCATGTTCTCTCAGAATTAATGAGTCTAAGATCCCAGCATTGTGTAAATCCTATCCCCAAAGGTTATAACTATCAGGCACCTTGCAAAGTAGTGCTGTTCACAATATGAAAACTGCCCAGCAATTTCATATTACGTGCAGAAAATCAATTGTTGCCCTCTAATCACGTACTTTATTCTCATCAAGATAAATTTCAAATGATGTGAGCTCTTGTGGAGACCATCATATCCATCTACTTCAGTCTCCTGCATAAAGAGATAGGTAAAATTGTATCAAACAATTTTTGTATCAAGTCTGTGGCTTCTGGTTTATCGGTGAGAATCTCTTTTACAGAGTTTTTAAAATAAAACAATGCTTCATATTCTAGGTAAATTTCTTCCATGATTAATTGCCCTGTTTAACAATTGTGACTTACTTCCTATCTGAATTGGTCCAATTTCCATCTCAGTGGAGCTCATGAGAAGTTTTTACATTAAAGAACTGTCCATTAGAAATCTCTCTTGTGTAGGCAAATATCAAATGATTTAAGTTGCTTCTTAAACTTCTCCTGGATATGACTAAGGAGAATCAAGCCTTTCCTGAACTTCTTCCATGCATTCACTTTTTTTAAGCATTGACAAAAAAGCAAGCCAAATTATTTCAATGCTGTTCTTAAAAAGGTCGTATTTGTGAGATGGTACTACCTTCTCTTCCCATTTTGTATTCTTTCTATGCACCAAGGATACCACATATGCAACCACTCTCTTTATGATAGCAAAATACACCGAGAGTTCAGTTTAGTATTACTCTGCATTCTTTTCAAAGGCAATGTATTCCAGAATAGTGCCCTTCAGCGTTATAATAAAAAGCGTAAGTTAGCCTGCCAAGTATGGGAAGATAATGCTGCTTCATGCAAAATACTGTTATAACTCTGTTGCTGATATGTTTGAAGTAAGCATAAATTGAATTTCTCCTCAGTTTCCCCTCAGAAAGACGACTGATCAATATGAAAGAATAGATTAAGCCAAAAAAGTTCAAACTCTCAAGGGAGCAAGTACCTGGGAGATTTAGAAGATATTTCAGGCTAATATTATAGAACTTTCATCTTCGTAACAAACATGATGAGAAGGAAGTTTATTATCTCCTACAGACATATTAGAAGTTTGACAGCCAATAAAGCACACAGTAGAATCCAACTGAATTTAATCGGCTGTTCACAAGCTTGCAATTACGCAGAAGCTTAAAGACCTCCCCAAATTAGAGCACAGACTCCTATCAGATCTAGTTTCACACTCACAGAAAAGGTGATGTAATGAGAATTCAGCAAAACTGCTAACTGCAGTTTCAAAAAGAAAAAAAAAAATCCCTGTGATACTCTTTTACAAAACTCCAGTAATGAAGCACTTCAGCAATATTCTAATTTGTTCAAGAAACAACTTCTCAGAAAGTCTTGCAGTTAGTGATGTTAAGATGCTGCTTCATTCTATGAAATTAATGACTATTTAAACCCACGTCCCACCTTCCCCAGGTACAGACACACATTGATATATGCGGAAAGAAATTTCCCCCCAGTTAGACCTTACAATCAGTTTGCAATTAACAGCAGGATCAAATGCTGCTGAGTACTATATCTCTGCATGGAAGTTTTTCAGCACTGCAATTAAAACTGACTGCTGCAACCTGGCTGAGAAGAAACATGGCAAGATGACAAATTACCTCTTGAGCTGCAACAGCAGTAACAAGATTAATATACACTGACTTATGGTTCTTGTAGCAAAACCAGTAGTAATTCTTATTTGAAATCTTTGAGTTCCGAAGTGTGTATTCTGAAAGCCAATAGTTTCTCCCAGAGGAAGCGCAATTAGGAAGAGATTTTTGCATGGTGTAAAAAAAAAAAGTTAATGGGGGACAAGGGGTGTCATGTTCTGGTCAGTTATACTCGTTCTACGCACTTTAAGAAGAATAGCTACCATGAAGGCATCAAAAACATCCCACCCAAATTATTTACTTAAGAGTTCTCGCTTTGGCATTTAAATTAAGTGAATCTTGTTAGTATGGTCATCAGTATTTCTCAAAAGAAATATACTTGATGAATCTGGTTAAACTTGTGCTTTGTTTCCAGAAAGGAAAGTTTTAAACCACACACCATATACACACATGATTTTAAACATCAGGTCTCAACAGCAAAATTTTAATGTTCAAGGCTGGAAAGGTTGGATAAAGAACATGAAGATACCGACGCTCAACTTCAAGGTTTCAAGTTGTCCGCTTCCTATCCCCTCCCCTGCACAGTGGATAGTTTAGTAATAAAGCATAAAAGAACAGGATTGAACAGTTATATGAATCTGCATGACTAGAAATTTTTTGTACTTCAGTTAAATTTGAAGTGTCCTGTAAGAAAGCTGTCAGTTCCCATGACAGAGCTTTTTCAAAAGACAAAGAAAATAAAAATTAAAAAGGGGAAGAGGCCATAAACAACGAGGGACAGTTCAGAAGAAAACATGAGAGGGGTGGTGACGGGAGAAGCATTTAAGTATAAATTACTTAGAGCTGAACTACTATGAGAACAGAAAAAAAGCTGATCATCGCTTGCTGCAGAATCGCAGAGAGGATAGGAACTTAGCAAGGTAACGAGCCAAAAAAAAAAAAAAAGGCATTTTACAGTAAAGCTATCAAGAAATACTACTTTGCACTGTGATTATCCCATCTAAAAATAAAGGTTTATCAATTACAGTTGAAACAAACTCAAGAGAAAAGCACTACAAGAGGAGGAACCAGATACTTGGCTGCTCCCTGCATTCCTTAACTACACAAACCAACACAATAACAGATATAAGGCGTTTTTGGTGCTGGTTTGGTTGGTTTTTTTCCTGTAACTGATACATATCAAAAGTCTTCACACATTCCATTAATGCTGCCCCATGCAATGAATATCTCAGTATCTAGAGAGATTGCAGATTAAGTATTAACTAAAAGATCCTCCTTTTTTAATACAAAGATGAATTTATACAGCACATTTTTAATATGGTCTAAAGTTGCATTTACATAATTTATTTATAATCAAGTCACAGTTTGCAGATACATTATTATGCTTTCTAGAATAGTTTAAACGTAAGGATTAAGGTGCTAAGGTATGTGAGGGTGTGGGTGAAATAAAAACAGGCATCAGTTTTGATTACGATTTTGTTGAAAATAACCAAAACCATCAAAAAAACCAGGAAAAAATTCCAATCCCAAACCTAAACCACCCTGAGAGACCTCAGTCAAAATCAGTGTTAACAACTTCTCTTCTACCTGCCAAAATCAAACAAAACACCTCAACCCAAAAAATCAAGTGGTCACTTCATCGAGCTATTGTAAAAAAAACCCTGGATCTTATGAGGACACAGCCTGACCAGAACAAACACTATACAGCATCCCACATCTTAAATTCTGGGGTAGGTAAAGGAAGTCCCACATCACAAATGTTGTTATGGCGAAGTAGAACATCATGAGAGGTAAGACCGCAGTAGAAATGGAAAAGGGTGGCATTTCCCCCCCCCCCCCCAAAAAAAACAAACCCAAACAAAAAACCACAAACCAAAAAAACTGTTTTGAAGATATGAAATGTCAAAACCTGTAAACTTTATGTGTATTTACATTTGATGTGACATTTCACTAGAAAAAGGGAAGCTGTAAAGGTAACT